CAGTGGCAAATGTTCAGACCTGTGGTCAACAGGCATGTCTTGGGCAGATTCTTTCAGCCATGGGGGTGGGTTCCTACTCTCCGCAGAGGTGGGAACTAGCCATGTTGCTTCACAGTCTCATTTTTGGAAAACAGTTGGCAGACCAAATTGAATAAATCTGTGTCACCCTAGTTATCAATAAGGATTTGTTCCTTCAGTAAATGATTTTTTTGAGTATCTACTGTGCTCCAGGGAGATATAGCTGTGAAATACAGCTGTGAAAAAAATAGACCTAGACTCTCTACACAAGGAGGTTTCGATGGGAGGCAGACAATCAGCATTAAACAAGCAATAATTCCAGTTACTAATATCACAAGATGATAAGAAAGAAAGTGATAGTGGGGAGAAGGCTATTTGAATATGCTCAGGCAAAGCCTCATGTGACATTAGAGCTGGGATCTAAGTTAGTTGAAGAAACCAGCTGAGAGAAGATGTGGGTGCAAAATTCTAAGCGGATGGGGAACAGCATGTACAAAGACCCTGAGGTAGGGACATGTTTGCTATTATCAGGGACCTATGTGAAACTTAGTGAGGAAGTCATGGTACTGAGCAAGGGGTAACGAAAGGCAGAAGTAAGATATATCATGAAAAAGCATCACATCTAACACTGCAGTGTGTTATAGTTTGCAGAGGGCTTTAAATACACCCTATCTCAATTTAATTATCTAACAGCCTTATTATCAGAAAAGGAAAGAGATTCAGGAGGTAACTCCAAGGTCACAAAGCCAGGAAATGGTGGGATAGAGACTCTGATCAAGGACTATATGCACAATCACTGAAGATACTATGGATGCAGCAGGTGGGGCCATTGGTGTCATTGCCTGGAGTTTGTGCAGTGCACAGCCTGTGTCACTGTGCGTAGTGATTCTATGCCAGATCAGATCTATTTTCTCCAAATTTCTGTGCTAGGAACTGCTAGGAATACAGAGTAAAGATATTGTTCTAATCTTTGGTGAACACATGGTACAGTTAAAGAGAAACCGTATGTGAAAAGATGGTGAATGATATAAGACAGTATTTGTTTATAGCAAAGATGTTATGGATGGAATAGAAGGGGATGTGAGATTGGAGCCTAGCTTAAAGATGTAGGTTGGTGGACAAACTGAAAACAAATCCATAGAACATCACCACACAAACCTCAATAAAATCTAGTGTATTATAGATCACTATAAGTGCTTGCCTCTAGCAGCTTTTGATTAAAAAAAAATGAACATTTATTATTATATCATATCAGAATAGAATCACACAGGTAAAATTTGGCAAATCTAGGAAAAGAAAGTCATCTATAATCTCATTCACGAAACATAACCACTTTTCATAATTTTGTATATTTCCTTTTGGTTTTTGTCCTTAGGTAAGTTGTATGTGTTTATATGTTTATTTATGTGAATATGTATATACATTATGTAGCATACACACACACACATCCCACAAGTAAACACACACATATATATTCTCACCTATATTGAGGTATAATTTATATGCTTTAAAATTCACACATTTTAATTGTGCAAGTCAGAGTTTTGACAAATGTATGCACCTGAGTAAACACCACTATGATAAGGATCTGGAACATTTCCTTCACCCCACAAGGTTCTCTTGTGTCCTTAGCTCATTTCCCCCACCCCCTCCTCCAGGCAATCTCTGAACTTACTTCTGTGGCCTGAGACTAGCTTTGCTTGTTCCAGAACTTCATAGAAATGAAATAAAGTGTACTTTTTGTCTCTGGCCTCTGCTGTTCAGTATGTTTTTGAGGATTATCAATAGTTAGTCCCTTTTTGTTGCTGATTAATATTCCATTATGAGAATGTATAAGAATTTGTTTAGTCACTCACCTGTTAATGGACATTTGGTTATTTCTGGGTAAGGTATATTATGAATAAAATGGCTATCTACATCCTTTTACAAGTCTTTTTGTGAGGTTTTTACTTCTCTTGGGTGAATACCCAGGAATAGAATTGCTGGGTCATGGAGTAGGTTTGTATGTTTAACTTTGTAGAAAACTACCAAATGATTTTCTAAAGTGGTTATACTACTTTAAATGTCTGAGAGTTCTGTTTATTCCACACCCTCATCAACACTTAGTATTACTACTTTTTTATTTTAGCCATTCTCATGAATGTGCAATGGCTTTAATTTGCATTTCCCTGATACTAGTAATGTTGAACATTTTTCCTCAAGCAAGATTCTCTTGGTTATAATTCTTCATAGTCTCTGATTTTTAAATTTACACATAATATGAACATTCTTCTGTTATCCCATAGTCTTTGTAAGCATTACATTAATAGTACCTGATATTCCAACAAGGGAATTCTCTAGTTTATTCAATCAATTCCTATATCAGACATTTAAATTATTTCCAATTTCCCAAATCCCTAAATAATATGGAAATTAACATGTGAGTGCATATATTTTCCCCCATATTTTAAGTATTCTCCTTTAAATTAATCACAAAAATAAAATAATTCAGTCAAATGTATTTTTGTGGCTTTGGAAGTGTAAAATATGAGATGGACATTGACACTGCTGGCCTTTGAAGGCACGTGCTAAACCCCCTTTGTCATCTCTTAGCTCTATGCTGAGGTGTCTGAATCAGGCCCCATCATGAATGTGAGCCTTTTGTCTGGAGGCAGGGCTTATGGCTGCTGTGTCGCCAATTATTCTTGGAGTCCTGGGTAAAGCTGAAAAGGTTAATGCTGTTATTGACTCAGTGCTGTGGCATAATAGACTTCATTTTCCCTCTAACCAAGTTGAAATATGGAGAGAGAAGAACTCTGGGGTGCCTAGCCCCTAAGAATGATCTGTGAAGGTGCCCAGTCAAGTTGTGATTAGGTGGCAGTTCCACAATTTTTGTAAATGAAGTGCCCAATTAAAGAGAGGCAGAAACTTAAAGAGCATTTTGATGTTCTGCATGGTATTTCTATCTGGATTGTGTCTTTGTTTGGGAACTCTGGGAAAACATGGTGATGATATGATGAGGAAGAGGAGGTGGAAGGAACTGGAAGGACTAAGACCTACTACTAAGTCAATGGAGGAGTAAGATTCATCCTGCTGTTGTGCAGACATGGGGCTGGGCACTTAGGAAAGCACGTGCATCCCATCAGGCCAGCAGAGACACTTACCAACCCATCTCCAAGCATCCCATCTCCCCCAAAGGTGTCAGATCCACCTTCCATATTCCTCCTTCAGAGGGAATTGTCCAGAGAGCTAGGAAGCAGGAGAAATTTACATAGCAAATCACTCAGCATCAGCCACCACATTCAGGCCTCCCAGTGGATGAAAAGGCCCTCGAGTGAAGTTTCCAGGCCCCTACTGAGCCGTCCTGGGAGACCTCCCCTGAGATTATCAACTTGTGCAATTCCTCAATGCCTCCTTGATGACCCTCCAATGGGCAACCAGTAGAATATCTTCATGTGCCCAGAACTGATGCTCACCAGCAGTTCCCAGAAATTCCTAGTTGTACTAAGCCATGTTATATGTCTTTCCCCTTTATCAAGGACAAAAAACATATCTTACTCCTGACGTCTTAGCTTGGGTTCCCCCAGAAGGAGACCTGAGATGAGGATTCAAATGAAAGTCATTTATTTAGGGCATGACCCTAGGAAACCTTGGTAGAGGAGTGAGGAAATGAGCCAGGAGAGATTGAGCAGCAAATAAGGTGTGGTATTAAGACACTTACCACTGTGGGTAACTGAGATGCTGTGTTGTGGAACCTCTGGGAAATGACACAGAACACACCTTCACATTACCACACCCAAGCAGGAGGAAGCTGGGCTATTAATCCACCAACCATTAACATTTGCTCCTTGAGGATGTTCCTGGGGAGTTTGAATTCTTGTCCTTGTAGTTGTGGTGCCTGCAGGCAGGGTGGACTCCAGCAGCTGGAGAAGGCTCACAGGCAGAGACTCAGGTGCTGGCAGCTACAGGCAGGACACAGAAAATATCGGCTATGCCTCCCAACATGGGTCGGCACTGGCTAGGAACAGATCCTCGATAAAGTACATTGGTACAACCCAGAGGACTCAGCTAGCTTTGGCTGAGAAACTATAGCTGCTGCTTGTTCCCCGGATACTGCCATCAGCCAGTAGTGCTATTTTGGTAAGAACCCCTTACGTTTTTGAGTGATGGTTCTCCAAGTGTCACCCCTGGACCAGATCACACCTGCACATTTGGAAGAAATGCAAATTCTTGGGTCTTACTCCAGAACTGCTAAAGTAGAAACTCTGGGCCAGGCTTGGGAATCTGTATTTTTAACAAGCCCTCCAGGTGAGTCTAATGTACTCCAGAGTTTGTAAACCATTGTTTTAGATTCTCATATTTAGGACTGTCTCCAAGTTAGATGGTCCACACTCCTAACTCCAGCACCAGAGGAAAAGGGATGGAACCTCTAGAAGAAAGTTTTCTAAATTTGTCCCTTTTTGTTTTCCTTTTTGTTGGTGCTTATTAATATAAGTTGCACTTAATTATCAATTACTTAACATCTTGTTGGATTTGAACAAAGAGACAAAGAGAGGATGGGTAGGGCTGATTTATGTTCCTGTTTATTTTCCTGAACTAATATTTAAATTATTTTGCTTGCCTAGGGACACACCAGGTGGTGGGCAGTCGGGAAAACACAGGGATCTGTCCTGGGATTTTAGATCAATCATAGAAAGTGTGTAAAAGGATAGTTAAGGGTTTGGGATAACCCCTTCATCAGTTTGTGTGAGGAAAATATTTATAAGCTGGGCTTGGTTTATTTGCATTGACCCAGGCAACCCACAGCACTGGGTAGTTTCATAACCCATCTCCTGCGCTGTGTGTCTAGCAGCAGACACCCCTCATTGCCTCTCCGTCAGTGCCGGCTGAGAACAGCATCAAATTGTGTTCATTTCTTAGGCCTTGTCCCCTGACACCAGCAGAGACTGCAGGCCTGTGGGTTTGCCCCAGTGGTGTGACGTCATAATGTCCATTCATGATCTTGCACCTGACTTACCCCTAGGCCTGCAGTGTAACTTCCAAAGACTGGCCTGTATTTTCAAGGCCACAGCACCTGAGACAAACCAACCTGTAGCGTCAACCCCAGGGAACTCTTGGTGAGTGTTCAGACGTCCAGAGAGACACAGAAGGAAATACAGCCAGTGGTCGACTGGCCTAGTCCTTTGGGGGCCTCATGCTCAAGACAGAATAATCTGATTTAACAGGCAGGATTGTGCCAGGACAAGGTAGAGTCCTGCTACAAGTGCAGTTCTCCTTTTCTGACCCTGTTCCTGCAGGGTTACTGTTTGCAGGAAGTTATGCTCTAATCATGTCTAAGAGGCTGGGTTTGCCACCTGCCCCAGAGACCTGGGCAAAGGTCAACTTCGTGCTTAATAGAGGCTCTGGGCAGAGAGACCTGGCCCTCAGATGGTAAATCCAGCCAAGGTCATAGGAGCCATGGGTCCAATGGCACGCCTCTCGTCAGCATGGCCAGGCAGGCGTAACCTCCTGTGGTGCCAGTGCTGCCAAAGCCACCTCCCCACCGAGAATATTATGACCGACTCTTCCTCTCTGGAGACTTTGCCTTCTTCTCTGTCTCTTTCTAAATGCAATTCCTTATGGTCCTCCAGTGTATCAAATCTCTTCCTTCCTTTTTTGGGATAGTGAGAGAGATTTGAGAAAATGATGAAAAGTGGGTAGATGGATTAGAGCACCAGGAAAGTAGGCAAGATGGGAAGTGGTGGGGGTGGGGCAGCGAGGAAAGCCTTCTTTCCAAGTGATTATTGGCCTTCCTGACCTCAGTCACCAGGGGCTGGTTGAGAGTGGTCTGAATCCAGAAGGCCTCCTACAGCCAACTGCAGGGTGTCTGCCCAAGTGCTCCCACGCCTGTCCTTTGGTGTCATGCATCAGATGGGCCATTCGCCATCTGTGAACCCTGACAGGTCTTCATGGCCATAGCAGAGGGGTGGCGTGCTGGGCCCCATGATTTCGATCTGGTTCCTGGCTTTACTTGAGTATAAAAGTCAGGAAGAGGGTGGTTGAAAAAGTCTTTTACCCCTGTCTTTTTCATCCTTCCTTTGACTTACTGAGATGGCTAATGTTGGCCCATACACCACACATGAGAGTCCCGATGTCACTGGTTCACCACGTGAACCCTGTGGTCCTCAATTTGAACCAGCCTACTTTGGGAAAGGAAGGAACAAATATTTACTAAGCACATACTATGTGTCAGACTCATTACCTATGTAATGGCTTGTAATTCCTACCATCTGGAAGGTGAAGTAGGTGTTCTTGGCGCTCATCTTACAGAGAACGCTGAGTGCTGGGTTTCAGGGGGACATTAGCTTAGAGTCTCTACACACCACTTATATCAGCAAGCATCAGAGTGCACTGAAAATAGAATGGGCAGTTTTGCGAGGTGGTGAGAGTGTGCCCTTGGACGTGTGCGGGCCAGTAGAGTGCCTCCTGCTAGCAGGGCTCGGACACCATTCTTGTAATCAGTAGGGAGCTTAGCCTGAAAGATCTTTAAAGGCTATTCCAAATCCAAGTTTGCATGATCTGGGCTTCAGTACCTGCTTAATTCCCCATGTTTGAACCCAAATAGGTCAGGTTGGGAACTTGGTTAGAGAGGTATAGCTGAAAGGGGCCAGAGAGGTCAATTGAACTGACCTGCTGGACTTCAGTCAGGAAACAGGAGGTCAGGCAAGTAGGGGGTTCATCTGAGGTGACAGAGCCAGTCTGCAGAATATTTATGGATTTATGGAAGGAATGAATGGTGATAGGACCTATATTGAAACAGGTCAGAATACTTATCAAACATCCCTTAGCCCATCTCTCTTTCTCTCCTAAGACTTGTTCCAACAAGATTATAATTTGGTCAGTATTCACTGAGAGCCTCCTGAGTTCACAGAGATTATGATCATGTAATCTGTCCCTAACTCATTAGGTGGGTTCATTGTCCTCATTTCTCAGGTGAGAACAGTGGGTAACTGCCCAAGAGGTTAGAGAACTTGTGAAAATGTCAAAGGCACTATATGACAATGCAGGTCTCGCTAACCCCAAGGACAACCCATATCTCCATCTGCTGCCTTCCAGCCTGTGCAGGGAAGCATTATCTTTTCTTATCCTCCCTAAAGACAAATTGTGATGACTTGCTCTATTCCTCAGGGCTCTTTCAAGGCCCTTCTTGGCTTTCTCCTGGCCTATGTCTGGCTCCCATGGGTCCGCCTGGTTCACTGCCCATGCCTCTCACCCTGATGGGACAAGAAGGAGGGATGGTTTCCACACCAACAGATGTTATGCACCAAGGAAGAAAATATGCTAATCGAAATCAGCTTCAGCTAATTGTAGCAATTTCCCTTCTGTGTGCTGCCCTGAAATAGTAGCCACGCTCTGTTCTTTTTTTTTTTTTTTTTCACATCAGGGAGCCCCAAATTGGCAGCTTAAATGAGGTTGCAAAGAAGTCAGTTAAACAGGCCTCTTTGCTGCCAGTACCAATGACGAGGCCTTGAACATGTCTCTGGGTAAGACCCTGGTTCAACTTATTATGGACTTGGCATCTCATTGTGGATAATTCAGACCCTCTTTTGGGCTGGAAGAGCTGATTTAATCCTGGGAAGACTGGAACCTCAAAAGATTTAATGGAGTACCAAGTAAGAGCACACGGTCTGACCTTGAACATGGATCCTGGTTATAGATTCTGATTTGTTCTAGCATCAGCATTAGCTATTAGAACTTTTTGGACTGATGGAAACATATTTGTGTTGCCCCAGATGGTCACAGGCATGGTCACAGGCATGTATAGCTATTCAGCACTTGGAATGTGGCTAGTGGGACTAAGAAAGTGAATTTTCTCTTACTTCACTTTAATATTTGTTGATGTAGAATGTAAAATATCAACATGTGGCTAGTGGCTGCTGAACTGAGCTGGACAGGGACACATCCTGCCGACTTCTGTGACTCATCTCTTCCTGTCCCCAGGGTCCTCTTCCCTCTTCATTCCCCAACAGACCTGAGGCCTGTGCCTCCAACAAGCAAAGAGCTTTCCCCAATTTCTTCTTCCTCTGATCATTTTATGGTTTATCCCTGTTTAATATCAGGGCCCTAGATAAGTGTGTCTCCTTGGAAAGATCTTCCCTACAGTGTCCATTGTTGTCCCCATCCCTACTCTTAGTTGCTCGTTCTTTCTGGAATTATCATGTGTCTTAGTTTGTGCTACTATCACTAAGTAACATAGACCAGGTGATCTAAACCACAGAAATTTCCTTCTCGCTGTTCTGGAGGCTGGAAGTCCGAGGTCAGGCTGCCAGTGTGGTTGGGGTTCAGTGACAATCTGTTTCCTACTTGCAACTTGCAGATGGCCATTTTATCACTGATCTTCATAGGAGAGAGAGAGAACTCTCTGGGGTCCCTCTTATAAGGGCACTAATCCCATTTAGGAGGCTCCACCCTAACCACCTAGTGACCTAATTACCCCCCAAAAGTCCCACCTTTTTTTAAAAAAAAGATTTATTTTTTTATGCATACAAGAACTGGGGTACAGAGAGGCAAGGGGTGAGAGGATTCACCAGAGACAGAGTGGGGAGCATAACAGGGGGATCCACTGAAATACACTGCTGAGGGGAGGCAGCAGGTGAGAAAGGAGGGGTCTGCTGTGCCATGTGGGTCACCTCCCTGGCCAGCTGGGGAGTCGAACTAATGCTGCAGTGGCTGGTGGTAGCTTGATAGCGCTGTGTTTAACCCCTGCGTCACCAGGGAGGCCCCCAAAAGTCCCACTTTCTGATGCCACATACAGGGGGTAGGATTTCGAAACATGAATTTGTAGGGAGACAAACATTCAATCTGTCATGTTGTGCTTGTTTTCCTGCCCACCACCCTCTGCCTCATGGGGTGAGACCCTCAATTCTGCAAGAGAGGGATGCTGTCTCTACTCTTCATGGCAGGTGAAAAGCTCTCAGCACAGTGTCCAGGCACCCTGCAGGTGCCCCAGCAGCCATTCTTCAGCCACCCCTATGAGTGAGGAGGGAAGACAGTCACAACATATAACCTTAAAACTTAGTAGTTCAAAACAGCAATGATTAGTTATTTCTCTTCCAATTCTATGAGATTTAGGAGCTCCATGTGACCCCAAGGAGGGCCACATATTCAGCTACATTCACCCAAGGCTGGGTCCCTTCTACTCACTTGGAGCTCACAGGTCCTGTGGGGCATCTCCATGCAGACAACTTGGTTTCCTTCCAGCATGGAGGTCTCGGGCAGTGGGACTTTATGGCAGCTGGCTTCTGAGAGAGGATGCAGGGCTCCCAGACCCCTTGAGGGTGAGCTTGGCATTGGCACCTCTTCTGCCACATGCCATTGGTCTCAGCAAGTCACAGAAGAGGCCAGATAAATGGGAAAGGGAAATTGTCCTCTTCTTAAGGGACAGAACAGTGGTATATACTGGGAAGAAGGAATATGCAGGGCCACCTTGACCTGCCAGCACAGTCACTTTCAGTGACCCTGTAGTGGTGCTTCTCAAACATTCTTACTGGAATATGCACATGGACTGCCTGGGTCTTGTTATATTGCAGATCCTGATCCTGTAGGTCCAGGGCATGGCCCGGGACTCTGCATTCCTAACAAGATCCCAGGAGCTCTGCCAAGACTGAGGGTCCAGGACTACAACTTGGAGTCACAAAGCTGATTAGACTACAGTGTTGCCTCTCTGTTCAGCTGTGGTCTCCTAGTGCCCCAATAATACCAGTCTGGTGCCTCACTCCAATGGCTTAGGAACTGCCCACTCTTGTTGGGGTCTGTGATTAGCCCCCTCTCTCCTAGTGACCACACCTTGCCATGGGGAACTGTCCATGCTACCTCCCCAACTCTTCCAACACATTGCTTCAGCAGGCCCTACAGCCCCTTTGTCCTTTAACATTCAATGTTCATCACACCCCTCATAAAATTAGGGGGGTCTTTTTAGAATTAGAAACCAAACTGAAACTAGTTTAAGGGGAAATAATTGATGAGCATTCCATGGCTTCAGGAATGCCTGGTTCTAGCCCCTTAGTGATGGGCCAGAAAATGATTTGCCACCATCATCAACATTCTTTTCCTCCAGGAACATCCTGGTGGGCACTCCTCAGAGAAGGAAAAGACCCCCTGCTTTACAACCACAGCAGGTAGGGGCAAATACATCTTTGCTAATCTTTTCAACAGAAATGCAGAGTTCTCTCTGGTGGTCCAGCTGGGGTCCATGAGCACAATGAACCAATTGCTGTGGCAGGAGGGCTTGTACCTCCATGCCAGGCCTAGGTCATGTCATTGCCCTTGGAGCCAGCAGATGAGGCCAGCCCCACCTCAGTGAGCCACATGCAAAGAGAACAGGAAAGGTGTAAAAACTAGAAAGTAGAGAGAGCTGTTGGGAAGCCAAGAAATCACCCGCTTGGCCATGAGAACAAAGGAACTGTGACAGCTAAGGAAGTTGAGGGCAGAACCTTGTCAGTTCCATAGAGCCATAGCTAACCAGGCCCCTGTTCCCTAGTCTTGATTGAGAATTCAGCTTAAGAAAAATTTTAGTTGCTGCATCTCCCCCTGCAGTGACCACGCCATTTAGTACCAGAAAAGTCTTGAAAATTAGCCAAGGCATGTTCCAAAGAACACTGGCCCAAAGGATGTTAGTTGATATTACTGAAAAGACTGTATGATCCGTGGAGATTAGGAGACAATGGGTTAGGCCAAGTCATCCGCATGCTTAAAACTTGTTGCCTAGAATTATTGGGACCTTGAATAATCTGTAATACCCTGTGAATCCCCAAGAGTTGTGGGGATATCAGAGGCTGTTGTTCTATTGAGCATACTGTGAATGATAAATGGAATGCCACTCTACCCATTTTACAGATGAAACAACTGAGGCCCAGAAATGGGCGGGTCATGCAACGACTGTTGACTCTTGAACAATGCAGGGGTTACCAGTACTGACACTACCTCACAACTGCAGTCCAAATTCCTCATATAATATTTGACATCCCCCCAAAACTTAAGCAATAGCTTCCTGTTGACCAGAAGCTCACTGATATCATAAATAGTTGCTAAACACGTATTTTGTATGCTCTATGTATTATATGCTATATTTTTACTATGAAGTAAGCTAGATAAAAGAAACCGTTATTAAGGGTGTAAGAAAAAACACATTTACAACATGGTGCTGTATGTATAAATACATAAGCTAACATGCTCTGTTTACAAGAAAATCTGTGTATTGGTGAACCCACACAGTTCAAAGTCTCCTGTTCAGGGGCCAACTGTAGTTAGCACCTTACTTAACTCCAACTCTGTGACAGTGACAGCTCTAATGCTGGATAGACACATTGCCTTGTGTCTCAGAGTGTCCCTGTCCCCCAGAACTGGTGGTTTTCTTTCCCATTGGATGGTTATTTGTTCTCTTTCTTGAAGCCACCCCTGTCCACGGCTCATAAACTCCCACAGCATGGACTACCCCCTGCTTGGGACACCGCCCTCACTGCTTGCAGACTTGAAGGCAACAATTGAAAGTGCAGAAAGCCATGTGGATCGGGACTCAGGCAAACAAACCCAACCAGCAACCTCATTGATGAGGTCGAGGAGGCTTGAAGTTCAGTCAAATGTAGAAGAGTCAGCAACAGACAAGTTGCCAACAGCACCAGGCAGGAGAGAAAATAATGTTCCTGAGCCAAGCATGCTCTTTAATCCAAGCAGAGCTTGTGCATCAGGGCTGGAGCCTGCAGACATGAGGTGACAGTTACAACCGCATTGCTTTTGAAGCACATCATATGTGCTCTCTCCAAGCCACTCAGTGGACCTCCATTATAAAGGGGCCATCAGCTAGTTGGTGGAACTCACAAGTAATAACTAAAGATGATGGATTGAAGCTCTTCTTTCTGAGTTTACAATCTTGGATGTGTTCATAACACTCTCTATATCTCAGTTTCCTCATCTGTTAAATGTGACTAAAATGAGTCACTGAGCATAGCTTTGCTATAAGGATTAAATAAGGTAGTGTCTGAAATAGAAACATGGCTGGCCCATCCATTGTCAAGACGATATATGTGGTAGAGGGAATGTGGTAAGTTGCATCAGGTCCAGGTTCTGAGCTTTCAAGGGCCAAAATCAAACCCAAGTTAGGTCAATGCCCTGGCGTGTCTCCTTCCTGCCACTCAGAGAGAAGCAGCATTCATGGGGAGATGGTGATGCTGGGAACCTGGAGAGGAACCAAGGGTTTTTTCAAATCTTCCCCTGTATGGGAAGGGGTGGCATGGTCTCTTTTGTCACTTCTAGGTCACTTTATCCAAAGGCCAGGCAGAGAAGAGGATATCGTGAGCAGAGTGGGGTATCTGCATCTGACCCTTCAGAGCAGAGCCTGTGCCAAATGTGACTTGTGTGGCCAATGGCCATGACCATTCTAGACCATCTAGAGGGAAGACCCTGGAGTTTTGAGCCAGGTTTGCTTGTACTGGAAATCTGCTCTCACTCGTGAATGCTTTCAGGTTGATAATCCCAGCAGGGATTTAACCCCAGCTTGGATTAGTGTCTGGCCACTGAGTAGGAAGATAAAAGTGGAGATAAGAAAGAGGTAACCTGTTTGTGGAGAGCCCTTATGCAGGAGGACAGAATGTGTTCCCAGGAAGCCAAGTCCAAGGTTGAAGATGATTTCCACTCACCCAACATGAGGCTTTCCTGAGAGTTGAGACTTGACAGCAGAGGTCCCTAACCTGGAGTCTTTGTCTCACAGTCCCCCTTAAATGTGATGCCAAATTTTATTTATATGTGCAAACTGGGCATTTTTCTGTAAGGAAAAGTTTACAGCAGGAGAGGTAAACTAGTGGCCTAGCTTTGTTTTGTTGGCTCCATGATGTGTTATAGATTCTTGAATTACTGCCCAGCATTTAAAAATTGGGACCCTGCATACAAAAACCTATAATTTGAGTTTCTCTTGAAATAACTTACAAGCTCTGACCCACATTCCTGAGAGGGGGCTACCTTCTTTTCTTTCCTTTTTTTTTTTTTTTTAAGATTTATTTACTTATGCACACAAGACCTGGGGTACAGGCCAGAGGTGCGGGGGTGGGGGGGGGTGAGAAGATTCACCAGAGACAGAGTGGGGAACAGAACAGGCAGACTGACTGAAACACACTGCTGAGGGGAGCAGTAGGCGAGACAGGAGAGGTCATGTGGGTAGCTCCATGGACAAGGGGGGATCAAATTAATGCTGCAGAGGCTGAGGATGGCTTTGCAGTGCAGTGCTTAACCACTTGCACCACCAGGGAAGCCCCTACCTTCTTTTCTTTAGGTGGGGGTGTGAGACCTCACTTAGCCATTGTCCACACCACTTTGTGACCTCCCTGATGAATGTCAAACGTCAGTCTTCATTCATCAATGTTCTTGAACTGTTTTTCCTCATTAATATATTTTTCACTTGCTTGGACCTGCTGGATCTTGAATTAGTAAGCCCTAATCTGAATTTTAATAAATGCTCCAAAGCATGTCTGATGCCAAAAGATTATTGAGACTATTATACTTTCCATCTTAAATTATTCCCTGACAATGCAGGGTTAAGAGAAACACTTAGAAGGAGGAGAGCACCCCACCCCTCAGGCCAAGAAACATGGAATCCCTTTCCCTGAGGAATGTGCTCATGCTGTGTCAAAGGTACATTTAAAAATGGGCAGGCTAATCTTTCATTGCTACAAGATACCAAATGTCTCCAAAAATACAGAAACTCCTTCATATAGTTTCTGGAAGAATCCAATTTGCAATACAAATAGTTTATTATCTGCTTGGATGGTAATACAATGAACGAGGCCAATGGCAATCTTTGAGAAGTCATTTCTTTAAGGCCTTGAGAACTTGCCTTTGAATGGATACAAATCAGAAAGATGGAGCAACACAACTCTCATGCTAAGTTCCCATTTCTGAAACAAGAGCTAATAAATCTAGTGATTTTTTTGGGAGTCGCAAGTAAATTTTTATATTTGGGAAGATTGGGCAAGGCACTTCGCAATGAATCTTGAACAAGACAGATGCATGTAAACATACCCTCATAACCAGAGATGTGCAGAAATAAAAGTGTCCTTAGAAGTTACCAGAATGGCTGTGCTGAGGACCAGTAGAGAAGGGCAGTGCACAAAATATGAGAGCTGACAGGATAACAGAAATTTGAAGCTTGGGCTGGGCATCCTGTCCTCCAAAGAGCACACAGAAGACACATAGCATCTGGGCCTAGTATATCTTAGACTGGCATGAATGCCATACTTATCAACACTGCACCATCCCCCCTATTCCACAAGAGGTCCCTTTGCTGGCCCACAGCCAGCTCCTGCTGCCCCAGTTCATATTTGCACCCAAATAGAGGAATTCAGTCCAGAGCTCGAAGGATGGAAAATGAAGACCAGAAATCCTTGGATTTCTTGATGATTCAGTATTTGAAAATGCAGAAATTAAGCTGAAGCACACTTGCTTGAGTCCAGAAATGGCCTGATTTGTTAGTGCACTTCATTTATAAAGTGGGGCTAGTCATAGCCCCTCCTCACACAGAAGGGCGGTTTAATGGGATAATAATGAAGAGTCGCACACAGTGCCTCAGGAAGCCTGCATAAGCATGAGCTGCTCTCTTGGGTTTCCCAGTCACCACCCTGAGAATCTAATCTCAGTACAAGCAGTTAATGTGGAAGGGGATCCAGGTCATACAAGAGAGGAATGAAGAAGCGAGGAAGGTCACTAACTGTTCGAGAGCAGGTGACCACCGCAGGCAATAGAGGCTTGATCCCTGCAGAGTCATCTGGGCGGTGACACCAACAAGTCCCAGAGTGGTCCCACCTGAGCCTTGCAGGAGTGGGGTGTTTAACCAACACGGCCTCCATCATTGTCGGGGTCTCGCCCAGCTGGCAGGCAGGGGCAGCTAAAATTAGCATTGTTCTGATTTCCATCCTGGAGAGGAGAGTGTGTGGGTTTTGGAGTCACCCAACTTGAGCTTATTTCCCATCATTGCCTTTCACCAGATCTGTGACCCTTTTTGCCTCTCTGGGGCACAGTTTCCCCATCTCTCAAAATAGGAACAGTTCTTGAGTGCTTCCAAGCTCCTTTTGAGGATTAAGTGTGCCAATGGCCCTGAAGAGGTAGGCACATGGTGGAGGCTCAGCCCCCT